GTGGGGATTGAGTGGAAAAAAATACGGAAAATAATAGCTAGGAAAGCGAGGAATAAGTACGAAGGATTGTGTAAAGGGGAGCGGTCGCATCAGAGGAGAAAATTCTGAGTGATCGTAGTCCATGGTATCTAGAAGATGGCAAAATAATGCAGAAAAGGTGGAGGAGAACTGTAAGTATACAACGATTTTCATCCTTTTCCGCTAAGCGAAAAGTAGTGTTTATCTTCCCAGAGCCTCTTCTCCCTTGGCTTGACCAAAAATTGCAGTCTGGCTCAAAACTGCTTCATCTTGCTTTCCCAGTGTCGTCTTAAGATGTTGAAAAATCGAGGAATTGTGCGAAAATGAGAATGGTGCTATTGTTGGTCCACAGGAATATACAGGAAATACACAGGTCTTTACAAAATTGGCCGCTATGTTGACAGGAATTAACAGGATGCCCCGCCATACTGTATTATCACTCTAATAGGTTCCTCAAATAGACGGACAGTGCAAATTTGTTTTGAGCGTTTATTTGCATTTTGCAAATTCGAATCTGCATTTTGCTATCGGAGTGCTACCTTCTTTTAGGCAAATCCTTAACAAAAATTCTTTTTACCTTTGTCTGCTTCAGAACCACTATCTTAGTCAAGGATCCCCGAGCTTTCGCTACGGTTCCGTTTGATTGCATTAACTTTTTGTCTGTTTTGATAGCCTGAATATTACTCACTTCACTTCATTTGTGCTTCATTTGTTCTATTGGCCTGTTACTTCGCTTGTTTATTTGTTCTCGCACAGGCATGTGTGTAGCTTTCTTCGCCAATGCTGGGGCGTGTCAGGGGAGGAGGGCGGGGGGGGGGGGGTTGGCTTGGCGCCAGCTTCATCTCTATCAATTAGTGATGGGGCGACAATGATTGGTGGGAACTGGACCGGCGCCGCGCCAAAACCAGCCCCATTAACACGCCCAGCATCCGCGGAGAATAAGACTGCAGACGAAAAGCTCCTGTTCTTGTTTTTCTTGTTTTAGCTCTTGTTTTTAGCGTTCTGAATTCTGTGAGGCTTGAGAACTACGCATTACACTATTGAGTTTCAGATTTTTTCATTGCAGGCAATATCGTGAACATCGAACAGAATGGCCTTGAACAGCAACCCTTTTGCGGACCCTTTCGCCGTGAGTCTTTACATTTATTTCTTCATTTTTTCTTTCCATTTCTTTCTTTTAGCTACAGCGCTTTTTGAGGAAGAAATCGTACAAGTGATGCGTGAAAATGAAAATCAGTTTTTATGATGATCACCTTACCCTTTTTCAAATGCTTCTTATGGCCCAGATCCCACGTTGACGGCAATTCATGTCAACGGCAATTCTACTCCGTAAAATGCGAAGAAAGACTGAGAATGATAGTTCCTCGACTGTGTTGAGAAATCGAATAGATGGGAAATATTAACGGGGGGGGGGTCGAAAGGGAAGAGGTACCTCAGCTTCTGTTTAGCACGTCCCCTTAGACGAAAGCCGTGCAATAGCGGCATTTCAAAAGCGGAATACTAAGCGTAGTCAGTCAAGTGGTCGTCTCGCTGGCCAAATGGCCAACTTGGTTTTGAAGGCGGTGGGAAATTAGATGTCCACGTGGGATTATCCCCAAAAAGGTTGATTTCGTCCCATAGATGCACATCTTTGAAGCGTCGTTCACTTGCTACGCCAATGGACGATCGGAGAAATCCGAAACGATTAACAAGCGTACTTGAATGGTTTGGCTCGGCGTAGGTGGAGAACCGAAGAATTGGCTGAAAGCAAATCGATTAACACAGACTGAATTGTAAACCATCGACTACGCGGTTTTCTCGATAAGGTAGCGATTCTTCAAGATCCCCGTAGGTACGCACCTAGTTGTTTTTGCCGATTGTGCGATTCTAAATTTGTTCTGCCCTCTATCATCATACAAAATCGATATTGTTATTGTTTGATAACTGCTGTTTAACGCCGCAGTGCGCGATCCGAAAGTTATCACAAGAATGCTGAGTTATGGGCAAAAGTCGGACCACGGACGGGATTCGAACCCGCATCTTCTGCTTACCGGGGCCACTTTTGACCTCTCAGCTCAATGGCTATTTGTGCCATTGCCTTCGAGCACTCACACGTTCAACGTGATGAGCCGGTTAGCCGATATCGGCAGTGAACCGCTGTAAGCTTTTACAAGTTTTAATGGTGTCATTGTTTGATAACTGTCATTGTCGATAATACAATCAATATTTTCATTTCCCCAGTCTCCCGATTTTTGAAGTTTTCCAACTTCTGTTGTCCTGGTCGGCTTGAGTCTTCTCTTGCCACCCATTCTGCGAATGAGCGGAGTCAGACCTCTAGTTTTCTAGTCGCAGATTCTCCATTTTTCCATGGTACTGGGCAGGAGCGGGGTCTGAGTGGAGTCGTTTCAAAGGAGTAATAAAATAGAGGTCATATTTATGTTCAGGTAAGGTGATCACTGTTAGAGGTTTGGAGTGTTGGGGTTCGTCGTGAACACTCCTAACCTCTAACTTGTTAGAGCGCGTTCAGACTTCGCGATCGCGCGATCCGGATCGCGCGATCGCTGTGATCGCGCGATCGCGAAGTCTGAACGCGCTCTTATGTTGAGCCTCCCGTTTTCTTCCATTTGAGAGGCTGTCAGACTAGCCACAGTTTTCCTCGCTGCAGATGAAGGGAGAGTGTCAGGCGGGATGGGTTTGGCGCCGCGCCAAATCATCCCGCCTGACACACCCATTGATCCACAGCGAACGAGAGTATACTCATTTCTACACAATTTTTTCCTACAACTAGTCGATGTTTATTGATATTTTTTATGGCTCCAGATAAACTTTACACCGCCTACACCTAAGCCTGTAAGTTTGTGTGAGGTTTTGCAACTGCCTAACGTTAACTGCTGGAAATCCTGTTTTTTTTTACTTTGCTTAAACTGGGGGAATGCATGGTGTAACCACGCTGGGCATATGATTTTTCCAAGAATGACGGTCACGCCTCGTGTAACAGTACGTTCATACTTTGCGTCAGCGTTATGAGCGTGCGCCAGTATACCATGAAGCGCCAGATCGATATTTACAGTTTCCTGGACGCTGAAAATAATGCCGAACGCTCAGAGCTCTGACGCTAAGTGTTACCTTTGCGCTTCTACTCTCCAAAGACGATTAGTTGGTACCAACTTCGTTTGGAAGGATAAATACATTGACTTGTACAGCGGTTGCCCCCACAAGTCATTCATTGTGTAGGCCAATTCGCATTCAGTAAGCCACTACGATTCCGAATACAAGTCAAGTGCGTGCCGTATCCCAGAAAAGAATTGATCAGCGGCGAAGACTCCATCCTTTTCTATTTTGTCAGGTGCTGCTAGACCACTGAGCTAAAATTATTGTATGTTAATCCTTTTCTGTTCGTTTATTAGTAGAGATAGTGCCGAATGCTCTAACCAGCTGTTATAAGTTGACTGAAGCTGTTCGCCTTAAGGGGCATTTTGCATGTTTGCTGGTTTCTGTTAATTTACACGTCTCACCTTGCTAAGACGTGTAAACTCTTGTCAGGTTCAAACGAAGCCTATGCTGTGTAGCTTTACAGGAGTTTACAGGTCTTTACACGAGGCATCGCCAGTGATCGATGGGAGTCAAAATGCCTATAAAAGCCCAACTGCGCCGGTTGATTCACTATTGACCTGTGTATTCGCTAAAAAGCTTCTACTTATAAACATTCAGCCATTCTTGGACCTTTCTCTCCTCTGAGACTTTCTTCGTTCAGGAACCAGTAGCAAAGCAACAAGCATCCAGTGGTACAGCAGAAGGAGCTGACAGTTTCAATCCGTTCGCTAGTCAAGGCAAAGACCGCAACTGTACCAACACATCAGGTAAATACAGAGTCGTTACTGTGACCTAAGCGCAATTTCCAACAAAAAAT